AATTCAAGTCGAAATATTCAGCAACAATTTTTTTTCCGTTTCCTGCGCCACAGACACTAACAAAAAGAGAATTTTTTTTCATCGCAAGTAAAAGCAAAAGTGACAACAAATGGCTCAGCAGTGCAGCAAATATATTAATTAAAACCAAAAAATCAAAAAGCAACAAAACACACAGATACAAACACACAAACACACACACACACAGAGACAGCTGCGAGCATCCTGTGTGCGGCCCGCCTCCAGTCGAACCTCAAAGTTCTGTTGACAAATCGGAAAAAAGACCCCCAAAAAGCGGCAACATGCTAGCCGATTCGTATCTGATAAAGTTTGTGCTGCGTCAGCTGCAGATGGAGCAGCAGGACGCACAGCATCTGCTGCTGGTCTTCCTCTGCTTCCTGACGCTGATCAGCCTGCTGCAGTGGCTGCTGCGACACTATCGCGAGCTGCGCAAGCTGCCGCCCGGCCCCTGGGGCCTGCCGGTCATCGGCTATCTGCTCTTCATGGGCAACGAGAAGCACACACGCTTCATGGAGCTGGCCACCAAATACGGTTCGCTCTTCTCCACCCGCCTCGGCAGCCAGCTGACTGTCGTCATGAGCGACTACAAGATGATACGCGAATGCTTTCGCCGCGAGGAGTTCACAGGACGACCGGATACGCCGTTCATGCAAACACTCAATGGATATGGTAAGTGGAAAACCGACAAAAAAACACTTTTGTCAAATTTTCCAGTGTTAATAGAAAATGAAGAAAACGAGGGTTAAGCGAAAAGTGAGAGAAGCAAACGTATTGCGCTTTAATTTGATTTGTGACTTTTTTTCATAAGTGAAAAACGCTTGAGACCAGGCTTTATACTATATGCATATATATAAATATATATATGCACAAATTTGTTTGCACTTTGAAAAGTTGTTAGCATTATCTCAGTTTTCTTTTTGTGCTTTTTTTTATTGGCTTTTACTATTAGTAGTATTATTTTCCGAGTACTTTGGAATTTTACAACTCGGAATTCGATTTCAATTTTGTTGAGACAGCACAAAAATTTCAATAAATAATACCAGATAAGCAAGCGTTACGCACTATATTTCTATATATAGTAATACTGTAATGCATTACGGCTTAAAAGAAACATAAAAAATAAAAAGAAAAAAACACTTTAAACAAAATGTTTAAGGAGAGAGACGAGCAAAAACAAACACAATAGCAGGCCATTTCTTTGTTGGCCACTCTTCACTTAATATCATATAATTTTTTATATTTTTGTTTAACGGCTGCCTTTGGCCAGGCCATAAGCCGCTCAATGATAACAGCTTGGCAAAAACAAAAAACAAAAAACAAAAAATAAAAAATCAAAAAATAAAATTCCACCATTTCTTGTTGGGGGATTTCATTTCTGGTATTTCGCTTCAACAATTTGGCAAAAAAAAAAAAAGAAGAGCAAAAAAGTGGGGCAAATCAACGTGTGCGAAGCCTACCTCAATTAAATGAAAATAAAACAAACTACATGAGCGAGAAGCGGAGAATTAAGAGAGAAGTAAGAGAATTACAAAAGCAGTACAAAATAACAATTAAAATTTCATTAAGTGCGTTGGCAAAGTGCCCACTATACACATATATATATATATGTATATATATATATATATATATATATGCACATGTGTATCCGTATAGGTAGCTTATGCGAATTGCTTTCGATTTAGTGTGGCATTATCATAACGTACCTTAACGTATCGACCACGTCTTGCTTCGCTTGCAGGCATCATCAATAGCACCGGCAAACTGTGGAAGGATCAGCGTCGCTTTCTGCACGACAAGCTGCGCCAGTTCGGGATGACCTACATGGGCAATGGCAAGCAGCAGATGCAGAAGCGCATTATGGTGAGTACTTGAGAGCGCTCCATTCGAGATATTTTTTATATATATTTACACCTGCCTATCTCTCCCTTTCTCTTTGTCTCCCTCTCTCTCTCTCTCTAGACGGAGGTGCACGAGTTCATCGGGCATTTGCATGCGAGCGATGGGCAGCCAATTGACTTGTCGCCGGTCATCTCGGTGGCGGTCAGCAATGTGATCTGCAGTTTGATGATGTCGACGCGCTTCAGCATCGATGACCCAAAGTTCAGGCGCTTCAATTTCCTGATCGAGGAGGGCATGCGGCTGTTTGGCGAGATCCATACCGTTGACTATATACCGACGCTGCAGTGCTTTCCGAGCATCTCGACGGCCAAGAACAAGATAGCCGAGAATCGTGCCGAGATGCAGAAGTTCTATCAGGATGTGATTGATGAGCACAAGCGCAGCTTTGATCCCAGCAATGTGCGCGATCTGGTCGATTATTATCTGTGCGAAATCGAGAAGGCCAAGGCCGATGGCACCGATGCGGAACTCTTCGATGGCAAGAATCATGGTGAGTTGACATCCTCCAGCCACTCCGGCTGTCAACCACTCAACAACTTCTTGTATAATTAATTGTTTTCGTTTGTTTTTTTTCTTTTTTTGTTTTTCATCTGTGTAGAGGAGCAGCTCGTTCAGGTGATCATCGATCTCTTCTCGGCGGGCATGGAGACCATTAAGACAACCCTGCTGTGGATAAATGTGTTCATGCTGCGCAATCCCAAGGAGATGCGACGCGTTCAAGATGAGCTCGATCAGGTTGTTGGTCGCCATCGATTGCCCACAATTGAGGATCTGCAATATCTGCCCGTCACCGAGTCAACGATACTCGAATCTATGCGCCGCTCCAGCATTGTGCCATTGGCCACCACACATTCTCCCACAAGGTAAGCATCAATAATCCAGTGTGAACTATCGGCAATCGGCAATCGGCAATCGCCAATTGGCAATATTGGCAGTTGGCAATTGGCACTTGGCAGTTGGCAATCGGTTATCAGTTATCAGCTATCAGCTATCAATTGTGGCCACGCCCCTTAGAGCGCATTGCTTACGCATTCGTTCGTTTTGTGCGCACATCGAAATGACGACAACGAGGTCCATGCCACGCGTTCATTCACACCACGCCTGGACAATGGCACGAGATTGCACATTCATTGTCGCAAGGCTTGGGTGGGGTGGGGTGGGGTGGGGTACTGAGTTCTCTCAAATACAAATCAAATGGCACTGGCACTGGCTAACTGGGAACTGCATGGGGGAAACTGGCTTTCATTTGATCTCTCCCCAGGCCCCAGCAGCCCCGAGCCCGTTGCCTCTGCGGTTCTGCTTGGTTTTCAGTTTCATTGGAAGCGCTTCCTTTGCGTCGCAGCTTGGCCCAGTTTCGGTTCTACGCACTTCACTTGATACCGCTGATTAGAGGCTTGTCAGCTGATAACCGAGCCAACGCCACAAATCAATAAGAAAAAAAAAAAACTGCAGCAGCAGCAGCAAACAGCTCCACTCGCTTGAAGCACTTGACTAACCCAGCTTCTCTTCCGTTGCTCTCCTCTCTCTCTCCCCTCTGCCACACAACATTGCTATCGCCTCGCAGAGATGTGGAACTGAATGGCTATACCATACCGGCCGGCTCGCACGTCATACCGCTGATCAACAGCGTGCACATGGATCCCAATCTGTGGGACAAGCCCGAGGAGTTTCGCCCGTCGCGCTTCATCGATACGGAGGGCAAGGTGCGCAAGCCGGAATACTTTATTCCGTTCGGCGTCGGGCGGCGCATGTGCCTGGGCGATGTGCTGGCTCGCATGGAGCTGTTCCTGTTCTTCGCCTCGTTCATGCACTGCTTTGACATTGCGCTGCCCGAGGGCCAGCCGCTGCCCAGCCTCAAGGGCAATGTGGGCGCCACCATTACGCCCGAGTCCTTCAAGGTCTGCCTGAAGCGCCGTCCACTGGCGCCCACCGCCAACGAGCCGCATCAGGTGCGCAACGTCGGCTCCAACTGAGCGCCGCTCCGGGCTCACACCCACAGAGCACGGTTTTGTTCCTAGACACGTTCTTTTTTTTTTATTATTATTATTATTATTATTATTATTATTATTATTATTATTATATTTTAATAGCTCTTAAGTTGACAAAAATTATGAATTAGGCAAATCGCGCAGTAAGTTTGAGTTTAAGCTAGGATTAAGGTTTAAAGTTTTCAAAGGCTAACAACAACAAGAAGAGCCTGTCATCAACAGACAGATATAGTAATTTATTTATATATATATATATATATATAAATATATATATATTAATTCGACACACATACATACATATGTGTGTGTGTGTGAAGCAAACAAATTCTATTCTTTCAACCCCAAGAAGCTGTGTTCAGTTAATTAATATTTTAATTTGTAATCGATAAATTAGCAATTTAATTAGACAACTTGTAATATTGTGTTTATAAACATGCATATACATATATATATATAAATATGAGAATTTTTTTGTCTTTGCCTTAATTAGCTAGTTGATGTTTTTGTTAATTTCATATTTAGACTTAAGGCAACAAACAACAAAACAAACTGTGGTTTAGTTTTATGCACACAATACACAAAACATAGGCAAAAACAATTTCTGAAATTCATATAATAAACGAATTAATAAAAGAAAACATTTGTTTGTTTTTAATATGCGTAAAAAAAGAAAGCATGCGCTTGAAAAGTTTTTATATTTTTTTTATATATTTATATTTGATGATAAAAGAAATATAAAAAAAAATATATATATATATATATAATTTAAAAAATAAACTGCAAAATATTCAAAAGAATTTTACAAACACCGCTTGATACAAAAAAATAATTTAAATGAATACAAAAATAATTGTAAGCAAATTAATATTTTCTTTAAAGTGTTGTTAATTTTATATAAAGGCTATTATTTATACCATTTTTTGCGTAAACTTACAACTTTTCCTTGTTATTTACATAAACAAACAAATTAAAAAAAAAAAACTAGCCGAATTGTTAATTTGCAAAGTAAGATTTATAAACAAAAAAAAAAAAAAACACCTTAAAAAGAAAATGAAATGCAAATAAATGAAAATTCAAAGAGAAGTAGCCCAAAATCTAATCGTTTTTCTGCAGCTGCTCCAATTTGCTGAAGCGCAGCTTATAGTGCGCCGGCGCCAAGGTGATGCCGCATTCACCGGCCATGTCCACGTTGCCCTCCTCGCCGATGGGCAGCTGGACGTGAAAGCGACGCAGAATGCGCCCGGTGAAGAGGGTGAGCATCATGCGAGCCAGCTCATCGCCGGGACACATGCGCTTGCCCGTCTGGAAGGGTATGAACTGTGCCGGCGCCGCGTACTCGCCGCTGGCATTGAGAAAGCGCTCCGGACGGAACTTCTCGGGCGCCGGCCAGACCTCCGGATTCATGTGTATGGCCCACTGCAGTATGAGTATCATGCTGCCCTTCTCCAAGCGATAGTCGCCTACAACTGTGGTCTCATCGACGCCGTGCGGTATGCCCAGCGGCACCACAGACCTGATGCGCTGCACCTCGGACAGACACGCGCGCAGGTACGCGATCGGTTCGAGCTCGGCCAGCGTGGGCGTTTCGCTGAGCTGCAGCAGTTCAGCCTGTAGACGCTTCTGGCATCGCTGCTCGCGCGCCATATAGAGCAGGAACCAGCGCAGCGTGGCCAGCGCTGTGTCGACACCGGCGCCGAAGAGATCGGCCAGCAGATGACGCAGCTGCTCATCGCAATAGAGCTGCGAGAAGGGCTGGCGTTCGCCCAGAAAATGCTCCAGGATGCTGTGCGGCGGCAGCGGCCGCTGCTGCTTTTGCTGCTGCTGCTCTAGCTGCAGCTCCAGCTGCTTCTCACAGCGCTCGACAATGCGATCGTAAAGCTGATGGGTCTTGGCCTTGCCGTCCAGCAGAAAACGAATACTGCGCTTGTTGCCCGGCAAATGGCGCAGCCAGGGCAAAAAGTTGACCATGCCCGATACACCAATCAGCTTGACGCCCTCCTCCTGCAGCTGCTGCAAATATAGCCAGTTGGGATCTTGGCGCTCGTAGGTCTCACCAAAGACCAGATCGTTGATGATGTTGCCCAGCGTGTGCTGTAGCGCGGGTCGCGGGTCCAGCACATGGGCTTCCTGCGCTTCCGTCTCGTACGACTGCGGAAAGAACGTAAGCGGGACACAAGATGCCAGTCAGAGCGGGAGAGCGAGAACACAGTGAAAATGGCAAAAGCGAAAGGTGGAAAACAAAAGAAATAAAGCCGAGAAAAAAAATTGCAAAGCAAAGCAGCAAAAACATGCGGCAACCGAAAAAAAAAAACACACACACACAAAAACACAACAACAAAAAATTAGCAAATTTAAAATTTATGCGTCGTTGTGGCCGTCGTCGTCGTCGTCGACAACGGCTGCGACAGCGGCAGCGGCAGCGGCAGCGACAGCGACAGCAGCACAAAACACACAGCGGACGTCGAGTGATGACCACAACGGAAAGTGAATGTCCACCAACAGAGACGGCGACGGCGACGACGGCGATGACGCGTAGGACCTTCACTTTCATGATTCTTGGAATTTCTCGCGCCGGCCAGTTGGCCAATTAGTCAGAGACTCCACCACGCCACACAGACTCAGCGCGTCTCTGCGCGACTCACCTGGACGCACTCGTCGACGCCGCGACCGATTCGCTGCTCCAGCTGTGCACGCGTCTCGCACTGTTTGCGCGTCATGCCCAGCGCCTTAAGCCACTCGATAAGCTGGCGACGCTGGTATTTCCAGATGTCCCCGCCAGCGCCAATGATGCCTGCAAAAAAAAAAAAAATAAATAAAAAAAAACAACAGAAAAAAGTTGCTGTCTTAAGTCATTCGTTTCGATTCGCCGTCTCTGTCGCACATACTCACCATAGCCACCCATGATGCCGTGCGTCAAATAAAGCGGTGCACGCGCCGTCAGCTCCTCGTGGCGCAGGAAATCGCGCACCAGCACAGCATCCGAAAGCACCACCGTACGCACCGAGCCCATGCTCAGCTGATAGATGCTGCCATAGCGTTTGGCCAGCGCCTGCAGCGACTTGTGCGGTGCCCGCCTGTCCAGAAACGGTAAATAGCCCAGCAGCGGCAGGCCCCACGGTCCAGGCGGCGTGCGCCCAAACAGACGCGCATTCCGACGATGACAAATCAAAGAGATGATAATTACGATAATGCCCAGCAGCACCCCAAACACAATGATCTCCATGCGAACGGACTTATCCGTACTATTTTCACTCATATTTCAGTTGTTTTTTTTTTTATTTTGTTTTTCAGTAGCAATGCGCAGGTAAGTTTATACAGTTTAGGTACTTCTGCTTCTGCTGATGCTGCTGCTTTTCTTCGCCCAGTGGGTACACGTCCGTTCGGCCAGGCGGTTCTTCAATTACTGGAATTTCTATGGATTTTCGAAACGTGTCCGGAGCGTAATGTAATGCAAACGGCGAAAAACAACAGAGGCAAGCGACAGACAGCAGGAACAGCCGAAGGCCACACAATTTAAGTGCATACATGTATATAAATACATGCATAAATATATACACAAGCAAACACACACACTCACACGCATGCCTTTACCTCTCCCTCTACCTATGCCCTAAGCATATACAAGAAGGTTCGCTTCTTCCTTGGCTCACGTAGCTAAAATTTGAAATTGAAACATTGCCGGTAACTGGAAAATGCTATGTGCATATATTTGCACAGACACACACAGACACACACACACACGCACACACACACAGGCACACACACTTGCGCATTTGTAATGGGAACCATTGAGGCAGTCGCAATTCCTACAACTCGCCCGATCATTCGATTGCTTAACTCTGGATCTGTTACATATTAAATATACAATATCCTTGCAGCGGGTATTTTAAATTTCGTATGAAACATGTAACACGTTGCTTCAACGTCCATAACATAAGCAAGTAAGAGGTTCTAGTCGGGAGCTCCCGACTAGGGGATACCCTGAATCCTCTTCTTCCAACATCAAATGCAAATATATATACGATTCTAGAAGCTATATGTCCAGTTTGGTTACTCTTGCTCTTACTATTTACAAAAATTGCCAAAAATACAGGATTTCGATCTATATTTTTATCGATTACTTGAAAACGGGGCAAGTTATCGATTATCGGAAACGAAACTGCTCAGCCACTATAAAAATATGTCAAATTTAAAATATATAAGCACATATGTTATTATTATAAAATTTTTATTAATTATTGTTATTATAATAAAATTATATAAGCATTATAATAAAGCTGAAATCTTAAATTTATATTAAACTAAAAGTTTTTAAAAATTTTGAAATAATATTAAAACCAAAATCAAAATATATAAATTGATATAATTAAAAATTCGAATTAAAAATTAAAAAAAAAAGTTAAAGCTAATTAAAATTTGAAGTAAGAAATTAAAATTAAAATAAAAATTGAGACACAAAATATTATTATTAGAAATTAAAGTAAACAATTAAAATAAAACTTTAACTAATTTTAGTTTACTCTAGGCAGCCCATAAATTTATATTCTGTTAATTTCAATCAAATTAAATCAATTAAGTTTATAAGAAAAAATAAATTATTTTCAATAAGACTCATCATTAAATTAACTAAATTATTGTAACGAAAAAGAATTGTTATTAAGTTGAAATATCTACAATTCATTGAAATATGTTAGGGTATTTATTGCGCTGCTTTTCGTATAATATTTTTCGCTTGTTTTGCATTTCTTTTTGCTGTTTTCGTAGTTTGGTTATTTTGTTTTGATTTTCATATCATTTTTGAAGCAAATTTTTGGGTTTTTTCTTGTTGTTTTATTTGTGTGTGTGTGTGTTTTTTTGTTTTTTTTAATTGAATTTGATACAAGTAGCTTATATACACTTACTCAGGTATATGGGAAAAACCATTGAGCACTGAGTAAAAGCTCACATATATATATAAGGTACATGGAATATTTATGGATTTTCAAGAACGTGTGAAAAACCTAAAATACTAATTTTAGCTTTTTTCGAAGGTTTTTCAAATGGAATTGAAATGGTTGAAAATGTTTGAGGCCGTGTCTCTCAGTATTTTATGAGACACTTGATGCTTAGTTAGATTTTCCAATTGGAGCTAAAGAATCTTGCAATATATACTCATGCATATTCATAATAGACGAAGAATTAACATTGTTTGACCACGCCCAATACAATATTTTCTGCCTCTTACAGTTTTAAGACTAGAGCTCACAAAATTGGATGTACCAGGAATTGCAAAATCGGGTTCACAGTTTGAACGCGATTGCCTTGTGCTTACTATTTGGAAGTGGGCAGGCTTACACAGGGATCTCACTAACTTAACTATAGTAATTAACCCCTCCATAAGGCCAGAACTCCCAACAAGATTCCTGTTGAGCTCTTCAAATATGATTGATGAGAAACTTCTCGCATCGACTAAGCATCGGAATTATATTCCCCCAGACGACACACAGACTTGCACAGACATCACAGCATGAACATGATATAACCCGTTACATAAATGTAGAAAACACACACAAAAAACACGAAACAACGGATACTGCGAAGAAGAAGAAGTAGAAGTAGAAGAAGAAGAAGAAGAAGGTGGTGGCTGATCTTTAGCGATGAAGCTGGTGAATCATCGGGACCATGCCATCAAGTTTCTGCGCCAGAAGCTGCGCTCACTGCTACAGAGCTTTCAGGAGGACTGCGAGACGACCTATCAGGAGGCGGCGCGTCTGCTGTTCCATCTGGGCCTCCAGGATCTGGAGACGCACATCAATTGGCTGGAGTACTATAATGCGAATGCGCCACTGCTGAAATGGAACTCGGTGAACAACTATATCGAGCTGCACTATCCGAACAATGACAATGTCCAAAAGACAACAATTGCCGAATACACCAAACTGACCATCTATCTGCAGCAGGAGAGCCTCGAGATGCCGCGCAAGAAGGCCTACTATCTGATCGAGATGCTCCACTGTGCTCGCAGTCTGGACCAGCTGACGCTCAATGGGTCCCTCAATCCGCTGGAGCCGGTTGTGGTGAATCTATTGTTCTTGGATGATACCATCGAGAAGTTCTACTATTTGGTCTATCATCTGTTGCCGCTCTACCGGGACCATATACGTCTGCAATGTGATTGACTTTTGCTGTGGCCACATTTTTGGATTATGTTCTTTATTATTTACCGTTGAGCATTATAATGTGTGTGCTTGCTGCTTGCCACACCATCGAAAATGCAAGTTGCAATTTGCAAATGTCGTGATACTACAACTGCGTGTGGCTGAGACTGTGATTGCGACTACAGCAGAGGCAGAGGCAGAGGCCAGGCACGGAAGACTTCAACAATGGACCACAAACAAGTTCAGGGCCGTTGGCATGCGCTAAAATAGAATCCCAACCAGCGTGCCATTGACTCCTGACTGGATCCGGGGCCGGCCACAAAGGACCAGCAACAGGCACTGGCTAAAGATGTACGACTGCTACGACTGCCACGACTGTGTGGCATTAACGTTTACGAGTAGCCTTACCAACATTATATTTTAATGACCTGCCGGCAGACGGTAACCCATGAATCCATGTCTGCCAATGAACCGCAACGTCCGGCTGCCAACTGCCAGCCGTCAACTTTCTGTGGAGATGATCACATGCTGATATTTCCCGCTAAATTCTGCTGAATTGCTTTGATTATAGCTGGCAGCACTCTCTCTCTCTCTCTCTCTCTCTCTCTCTCTCTCTCTCTCTCTCTCTCTCTCTCTCTCTCTCTCTCACTCTCACTCTCTCTTCCATTCTCTCCCTACACATCTTTATAAATATAAAAACCTATCCAACAAAAAATACAACAAATTATACGTAAAGTTAAATAAACTACAATATTGTTTTATACGATAAGCATTTCTTTAAAATCAATTTAAGTTAAGTTAAATTGGGTAAGTTACTCTGAATTTAGCTCTTAAAAAGGCTCTATAAAAAGTAAGAGCTAAAATGTAATACATTTCCCCAAGCTCCTGTCAAAGTTAACAGACACTTTAGCATTAGATTAGATAAGATTAACCTGATAAAAAAAAAGAAAATTGAATATTGAAAACAATTTTTCATGGATGGATAGATTTGACCAGGGTTGCCACCTGACAAGCTGTCGCAAAGTTAATTGAGTGAAGAAACCGGGCTTGAATATGTTCTGGAGATAAGCTCATTTAGCTTAGCGGTTTTCTGGCTAAATTCTTTGGCACTTTAGTTGATAAACTGGCATAAATTACAAAAACCGTCGGTCGCTGAACCTTTTTATTGTTGCCAACGCCTCAGACCAAGGGCTGAAGCTTCGAGATCAAAATGAAAACTCAACTGAGGCTGCGCAGCTGAGACTCAATGACCGCTGTCTGTCGGCTGTATGGTAAAAAAAAAAGGGTGTAGCAGCATCTACGCCATCTGCTAAGCTGGCTGGCTGAACGTTCTTGAGGTGGCAACAGGTTCAATCCAATTCAAGATCATTGGCCGGACAACATCCTATGGAAAGGACATGAACCCGAGCCGCAGCCAGTTAGTCGACAGATGCGCTGCGCTGCGTTGCGTTGCGTTTCATTGGCCTGTGCTGAATTCTGGATTATTTTTAAACCCTTCAGTCTGACTGCCTTTAAGCAATCAGCGATCGCAGCGGCAAGTGGCAACTGGTGGTCAATAAACTTTTCAAACTTTGAGACTTTGTAACCCGCCGCAAACGCATTTTGTACACTCATGATACACACACACACACACACACACATAGGCAGACACACTCCGTCAAGTTGATATTATGCTCTAATGTCTAATCAGCGCATTGCGCATAAAAATTTTCGGTTGAAAAATGGGGACAGCTTTCGGCTTCAGTTTAGTCCGGCTCACGTGGCGTATGCGCGTTCTTCTTATCATTTCCACATTCTTTATAAGAGTATGTGCACACACACACACACACACAGATATGCATATGGCTGTATAGGGCATGTAATGAACATTTCGTAAAAGCAATTTTTATTACAATTGCAACAACAACGGCAACGACAACAGCAACAAGAACAGAAGCAGAGACTGCGACAATTCTTTCCCGCTAGCTTTACAATTTTTCTGATATGGGATGGCATGCATAACCGGACCATGCCCCTACCCCTATCCCCTAAAGCCCCCTACAACCCCGCAAAACCCCACACAGCAGCATTCTTTGGCAACGCCAATCAATGTGTTTGCTTTGTACATAAATAAATTTCGAAAGCACACGAGCCCGGAAAATGTGTCAAGGTAGTTTGCATGCTTTATTTCTTAACCCAATTTTCACACTGCGCTTCACAGTTGCCGCTGGCTGTTGATATTTATATATTTGTATATACATATATATTTATTTGATTGCCGCTGCCGTTGTCATTATTCTATGTACACACAGACGCACACCAGCTGACATAGCTGCACAGTGGCACATTTTGGTAATTTTAGCGCTTGCCACTGCCAAATATGCAGCGTCGGATTTCTTGACCATTAATGGAGTGCATCTCGCATTTGCCCGCATTCGCATTGGATCAGCTCAAAGTCCAAGGTTGTGGAAGAATCATATTCAAATTGTTCACTTTCTACTGTCTGACCTTTTCGTATGGCAATTCAAGTTGGCCCGAAAGCGTAAGCTCAATTGTGAGCGCGTACTTCAATTAGAATTTTTAGTCAACAAATGAAATTACTTTTCAATTTGATATATATATATATATATATTTATTTATTTATGGTATATATATTTATATATACCAACCTTTGATCTAACTCTGTATATATAAAGAGAAGGGAGAGTATTCCATGTTTACTTTCTTTCTCTCTAAAGAGAGAGCATTCCATGTTTATTTTCTTACTAAGCAACCACCCCTCCCTCCTTGTGTCAACTATTTACTCTCCAAGGTCAGTTCTATTGTCCGTTGCCCATGGTCACATGCATTTCCACTCCCAAGTCTAGAAATTACAAGCTAACTAATTTAATTCGGTTGCAACTTGTCGACTTGCACTTGCAAATTGTAGTCCGATCAATGACAAATTGGTCATTAAAATTAAATTGTATGCGCATTTTTCTCTGCCCGACTTTACATCTGTAGCCTTAACGCAATTGACTAAGCTCAAAGACTCAATTAAGAACTTTTAAGTAGACAGAACTATATAACTTATCGCATAATTCACATATTCCTTGACGATTTCTTATCATTTTGTCTGCAAATAGTTGACGAAATTACTTTGCTTACATTCTTAGTGTAAATATTTAAATTAGTTTAAGGTTTAGTTACAAAACTGAATAGTTTGATTGTTTACTTTAATCAAGGCTGCAAACCGGTTGCTAGCCGAACCGCTTCAAACCCGGAAAATCAATTTATGTCTTACCATGAACTGAACCTTTAATCAAACTAGTTACCCACAAAAAAAAGAGAGAATTATATTTATTTGAAAAATGCTTAGCTTGACAATAAAATAGTTTGGAGACAAGCAAGGCTTAAGATAGTCCCAATCTTTGCATTTCTATTACATTTGGTAGTTGCAAATTTTGGGTGGAGATCAAATATAGCCCGCATCTTGTAAATGAAAGTATTTATGGCTTGAAATATTTGCAGCACAACGGGCAATTGTCGAAAAGAAATTAAATTATTTAATTTCGATTAAGAAAATATATGTCAAGCCTTGCTCTGAAGCAGGATTGAAGTATCAGAAATCAAAAGACCTTAAGGCAGGAGTTCGATTTACATTGTGAATCCTACGACTGACAACTTTCAGCGTTTGCAGCTCCGAGTTTAATTATCCACCCTTACAAAATCTTAGCACACCTGATCATTTGGTATCAGATCATTTATACGTATCACATTTTTTATTAAGTATATTTTATGAAATGCTTTGAATAAATAAAAGCGAGCTTTGGGCGACATTATTAAAGAGAAAGGGAGAATAAGTTCTTCCATAACACAGTTGAAAACTACAAATAAAACAAGTATGAATAAAGGATACCATATATCGCAAGAAATAAAGTTACATAACATATAGCTAAAAGAGAGCATTTCCATAGCTTAAAACTAAAACTCAGTCAGCAATAAATCTGGGATATATTTCGCGTCAAGTTTTCAAGACTTTGGCTACTTTGGCTGTTGGTTGCTTGTCTGCATCTTTATTAGTTTTTTGCTTAAAATGATTGTGATTAGCGTACAAAAGCAAATACAAAATTTAACAGATACCTTGACATCTTTCATAGACAAAACGCGCGTTCATTTAACTCATCCAACAAGCAGGCAGGCAGGCAAGTCGGGTGGCCGGGAGGCAGGCATTCACAAGAACGTGTCAGCCGCTAAACGTATCCAACAGATACTTTTTTATGATTAAGAACAACAGCAATTGCAGCAGCAGTCGCGGCGTCGTCGTCGACAGTACAAATACAAACAAATTAAAAGAATTTACATTTGGTCACAATTTTATTTCATTCGCGATTTCGATGGCTGCCCCAACCCGGGCCCGGGCCCGTGCCCGGGCCGGACCTAGCCGGGCAACTAGCCGGGCCAAAGCAAACGCTAGTTACCTCTTGAGCGTTTGCTAGCTGCGAAAATTAGCATATGCCACACACGAGCCGAGCAATAAGTTCTGAACTACCCGGCCCGACCCGGCCTGGCCTGGCCAAAGCTAGCGTTGATGTTGACTCTGCCTGAGTTGCGAAGCCGGAGTCGGAGCCAAAAAACCGAATCGAACCGAACCAAGCTGCACTGAGCTGAGCAGCAAATCTGTTATTGCAGTTGCAATGGCGCGCAGTTCAATGGCTTTTGCGCCATTTTAAGATCAATGCACCCCGCTGCAGCAACCGACTGGCCGCTCTAACAATTAAGCATTGCTGCGGCTGCTGCTGCTGCTGCTGCTGTGCGCCAAGGCGGGGGCGGAGGTGCGGCCATGCCACCGGCCGGCCCGGCCCGGCCCGGTCAGGCACCAATCGAATGCGGAGCTGTGCGCTGGCAAAAAACCTTGCGCATGAACAAATCCATGGACATGGACACACACTCACTGGCAGTCGGCGTCCTCATCCCTCTCAGCCGCCCGCTGCCGCCTTTTGGGGCTCTAATCAAAAATTAAGAGCTCACGGAAATTTTGTGTGTGTGTGTGTTTTGGGATTTTTCGGATTTTTGAGGTTTTTTTTTTCTGAGATGCGAATATGCAAAAAATGCATTTCGAATGTAAACTAGAGACCGGGCCGCGTGTCTAGCCGGTTGCTGTTGCCGGTTGACAAATTGCCAACTCAACTTGTTCTGACATTTTTATATGAGTTGTTGTCTGTTGTTGTTGCTGCTGTTGATCGTCTAATGAATGTGGCAACATTCTAATTTAAATTGCGCTCCACACATTGTTTCGACACCTGCTCAATAGGCATATAAACCCAAACACACACACACACACACACACACACACACAAACACACATAACACACTCTAAAAGAGGCGTTTCGCGCGTAATGAAATCATCAAAAGAAATAAGTAAATTTTAATAGTTGTTGCGTTTATAAATTTTGCATGCAAATTACTCGTCTTATCTTGTAAGGAGAATAAAAAACTTGATAAGCTTCTTTAATTACATTTGCTTGCTTGACTTAGCAGCAGATACAGCCAATATATAGATATATAGTATGTATACATATATATCTCGATTCAATGATATCGATATTCATTTGAGTTTGCTTCCTCTTGTGTTGCCTACAAAAGGCACAAGAGCCAAATGATATAAATTTCAAATATGAAAAGTCGCGAGTATTAAACCAGAATATCATTTTCCTACCAAGAAGAAAAAGGTTTCCCATTTTATGAAATTATATTATAAGCACAATTATATATAGTGCAAAGTTTCATTTATCCACAAGCATATTTATAAACAAGCATTCCAAGTTTCAGTAGAAAACCCAGATTTAATTAATAAACATATGTATATATATGTATATAAATTGTTATAGTACAATGCAACACTCTACTTATCATTAAGTATTATCGATAAGATCTAATATAATTTACGGCTTTCATATCGATAAGAAAGAAATCGATAAATGGAATAAAGTGGAATTGAACAAAAATTAAATGAGGAAATCAAATACAAAACGATGTGGAAAGCGAAAAAAATAAAAAAAAAAATATGATTTCAATCCAGGCTGGATTATGCTATAATTTGCGATACCTTTTGGGTTATTACAACCCCCACATTTGCTTGGCATATTGGGTAGAAGGGGGAGGTGTATGTGTATGTGTGTGTCTGTGTGTGTTTAGTGCTTGTCATTTTTGCTAGTTGGTTGTTTCATAATGTGAACTCGCTTTTGCAATGATTCAGCATAATTGATAAGCTATACAAAAGATTTGGCAGTCGGAGTTGGCAAACGTTCAAAATGCTAACAAGCCAACGAAAAGCTTATAAAATAAATAAATAATAAGAGAACAAATTGCAAATACACTACTCACGGCATTGTTGTGCCGAATTGTAGTGTAGCTGAAGTCGGCCAAGTCGACTTAAGCCCAGGCAGAGAGCCGCAGCCAGAGCCCCAGCCGGACCAACATATGTGGAGCAACAACGATTTATGCTAATTCCAAGGTTCTGCATTGGTTGGGTCAACGAATCGTGTCGATTTGATGTCGATGTCGATGTCGATGCCGATTCGAAATGATGTGAATCGAAACAAATCAAATCGATTCGTTTCGTTTCGTTTCGTTTCGATTCGAATCCAAGCGCCTTAATCGCTATTAACGTGCCTACTAATCATCGCCACATAAATCAATAACAACTAAATTTGTATGGAACTGGAGCTGAGCAGCGAGGCTAAGCCAAATGACAAAGAAAACACGAAGCGATTTGATTTTGTTTTCAATTTCAATTTCGATTTCCTATTGAAAGCGTTCATTGATCTTTGATGTAAGTTGAGTTAAGTTGAAATTAAAATTCTTGGATGAGCTAGGCCCGGTACAAAGACAAGCTCAACTACAAGGCTAAAGTTTCATTAGCCGTTTGAATTTGTGACCTGGCTTCCTACTAGGGCAGTGGAAATATGTTTGAAGGGCAGCCAGACAGCCAGCCAGCCAGTTAGCCGGAAAAATAGCCATGGATCATGGCAATCACCTCACAAATATGCGACAAACAACAAAACAAGCGGCCAATGTTGGCCCTCTTGTCCGAACCGGCCCAAAGGGCATGGCCAAAGATCTACATATTTACATGCAATTGCCTGAATATCAGATATAGACAAGTAGAATTATCATATTATTATATCGCATACGATATGAATAGCTAATCTTAAATTCCAAATATGAGTTGAATCGGTGCAAGCCTTGGACTAGGCATTGGATAATGTCAAACAGGATCGATCGCATTAGCTGACAAGCTCAATGAAACTCTGATTTTGATTGTGTAACGCCCCATTTAATATATATATATATATATATATATATATATATATATTTATATATATGGCTATGTGTGTGTGTGTGTGTATGTACTAATATGTCTGTGAGTCGATTCTACATATATACGCGTGCTATCATCTCGAGTCATTTCTATTTACATGAATTGCGTTTGAGCAATTACAATGTCAGCCATTGACAATTCAATTACAACGATAAATTTCAATTCTAATGTGACACTTGAATAACAAATGCACCAACTCGCAGCAACAAGCAAGCTGCACGCCACACGCAACACGCAAGCCACAATAAACGACGAGCAGATACCCTGGGAAAAGCTATAAGTGAACCCGCCTTTGGTTACAGCTTCGTGTGAACACCTGACAGGTAACTAACTTGTGTTTAAATACTGATTTTTGCTTCATTTTTCCAATGCGACAAGATATTTTTAGACTCTTGAATAATATCTGAAACATTTTATAAAAAGAAATCAATTTTATAATATTAATCATAATAATTATAATAAAATTAATAATTATAATAAGAATAAAAACAAAAAGGCTAATTATTTTTCAATAAAATAAATATGTACAAATTAAAATAATTTGATTTATTATAACATTATCTTTACATAAAATGTTTTTCACATCTCATTTTTGTATTGCTTACATCGTCTACAATTTTTTTTTATAATGTGAAAACATATTCTACTTTGCAGATTTTCATTGTAACAAACGAACATGCCTCAAAAGTTCTAGAATCTTGCAGAACTTTGCAGAATCTAGACTAGTCAACGGGTCGTATACTCAACATCAAGTGTAGCCAAGTGCACTTGCAGTCCCTGAGATACGGGGAAGCACATTGCGCCAACGCGTCGACGACGATCGCGGGGGTTGAGGGCGAGGAGTGTTAGCAAAAGCAACGCATTATATAAAGTGACAAACTGACTTCAAACAAATCAAAGGGGATTATGGAGGGGGGCTATGGCGTGCTAATCAACATGCAATTGCGATTTAACGCCCCAATGCGAGGTGCATGTAAATGCAATTGCAATATCGCTCACAAGTCTGTCTGTGTACGCGCGTGTGCGCGTGTTTGTGTGTGCGTGTGCGTGTGAGTATGCGTATGCGTGTGATAAGGTTGTGTGAAATACATACATACATATGCCACACAGATAACGAACGCCCACACACGTGACCAACAAGGCACGTGACTCACAGCAATATTTCATTCAGATCAGATCAAAATGTGACTATATTATTATGGATTTCTTGACTCTCGCAAAACACATGCAAGCAACAATTGAACTCTTCTTCAATTGTACTTTCAATTTTGCAAAGAAAAGTAAATAAATCTATCAAAATATATCGAGATTGGATGGGATACATATATGTTGAGCCCTAAAGTGACGAAAGTTACATTTACAGGTGGGAATACATGTGTATAAGCATATTTGAGCACCATTTGTGATATTATTTTTTTCGTAAAATTGTATATATATCTTGCGCTAGTTATATATGAGGGGAAATAATGTAACAAAACTTACTGCTAATAAGTCAAAGGTGCACAAGGTTAAGGCTATAAAGCGAAACGTTTTTAATTCTGCTGATTATATCTGATTTGGTCTTAGAGAATCCAGTCAGGTACATTCTGTGGATGGCACCGCTTAAGTGTTCTAATTCTTATACTTCCCGGAGAAGCAAGGCTCCTGCTATCGGGTTGGGATGGTATCTCTTGATGTGCCTTATACGCATATACCAAGGAGCACATCCTTCTAGGAATCGTACTTTGTGCGACTGCTATTTTCTTGAGGTGGCGTTTTTTTATATATATATCTTCACTTTGTAAGAGAAAGCTTGTCTTTAGCAGAAAGCAGCCATGTCATCTTTGTAGCTTAAGACAAAACTGTTCGTTGAACCATTGAGACATGTTTGCTGAAATGTCTGTCATCTATATACGTGACTATAGGGATATCCTCCCTCTCCCCTGTTGAGCGTGGGACCAAGGACGCTGCCTTGTGGGACTCCGGCGCATATGGGACGGCTTATCGATTTTTCACCTTCAACGACTATTCTATCCTTTGAAAAGCTATTCACTAACTGGAACATTTGTGGTGTTAAAAGGCTCTTTAATTTGCTGGGTATCAAAGTCTATCAAAGGCTTGTTGTATATCCAAGAACAACATATTCTTTGTGCTCCATGGCTCCCAGTGCAAAATTGACCACTCAGTTTAGTTGTTCCGGTTCCGTGACGTTTTCGAAAGCCACTTTGGAATCGCCCCTGTCACGCTTATGCGCTGCAAGATCCGGTTGCGTATAAAACTTTCCAAGACCTTCGCGAGGGCAGGGAGCAGACTGACTGGCTTAGGGATCATCGTGATATTTGTTTGTGTTCTTCCTATTATCAATAGATAAAGGTAGAGATATAGATAAAGAATAAAGATAAAATATAGCCCAAAGGAAGAAGATAGAAGATATAGCCTTTTAATCTTACATATAATCAATATAAATTATAAATAGATATATAATTTCCTGCTAATTAAATGTCAATCATAAAAAGTATTATCGACTTTTATACTTATTAATCGATATACATATTAATAAATATATAGAAATCAAAGCCGCAAATCGATTTTAAATCGAATTGATTGGAGCTCGAAATTTCAATTTATTTTTCACCAAGAACTGAACCCTAAGCAAAACCAGATCCAAGCAAATGCCCGTACCGAACCATATTTTTATTCAAAAATGATGTGCCGCAAATAAAAAAACTTTTGAAAATGACATCTATATACTTCTATATATACCACATTAAATAAATGCCCTATTTGAGCCAACATTAATTCAAAAATTTAGAAAATCATTGATAAACGCGCATTTAAAACACGAACTGGGCTCTTGCCTGTAAGTCAGTCAATTAAAAATGTCCTTTAACAATGACAGACAGCAGGCTCTGAGCTCGAAGATTGCAAGAGCTTGGCCGCTGCAACAATGTTGC